CTTGAAAACCACCACCACTCCCCAAATTTCATCACCACTACTAAAATAAAGAAAGTTGAGAGAGAGAGAGATTGGATCCTTCGATGGCGATGGGGTCTGGATCCTTTTGCTTCTACTTCGTGGCTTTTGCTTCATCTTCGACATCAAGAGAGAGAGAGAAAGGCGACAGAGATGAGTGAAAAAGATAAAGAGAGATGACATTTTATATTCAAGCAAAAAAATTCATATTTGGTTGCTAAAGAGGATCGAAATCCAGACCTTATTAAATCCTCATGCGTTTGTTTTTTTTTTTGATGTTTTCAAAAACATTTTTTTGGATGTTTCCATATTTTAGCCTTATTTTCAAAATATAAAAATTTAAAAAAACAAAAACATTCACTAAACATGTTTTTGTTTTTATTTTTATTTTTTGCCATAAAATGAAAACAAAAACAAAAATAAAGGGTTACCAAACACTACCTCAACTTTCACGTCCCTAGACTAATATTCTCTCAAGTTCGGTCAAAAGGAAGCCATTCACGCTAGAACTAGGGAATTCATGAAAAATAAATCAATCATGACCTGGTCCCCAGGGAGTTGTCAAATTTTAAATTTAGGATATTTAAGTTTATAGTTCGTCTTTGACTCCACTAGACTGCTTTTTGGGGTCCATAAATTCCTTTTGAAGTTGAATAAATTGCAAGTTCTTCACCCTGTAGATAGCATAAAAATGCACTTGCACAATGTGAGGATATCTTAAGAAAGCTGAATGAAGAAAAAAAAAATTGTGCAGCAACCTTAACATTTGAAGCTTGTGCTGCCTAATGTAGGCTTGGAGTTGGTGAAAGTGAAGTCGGCTTGTGTATGTTGGTTGTGTGGCTGTCCATGGATTGGGCTTACCGGAAGCACGCCCGTGGAAGTGTCCATGTGCCAGCCCAGCCTGGTGTCCTGGCCCGACAGTACTAAACTTGATAGGTCTTGGGACAAGTCCGAGCATTTGTTCGGGCCCATGGCACGGGCTGCCCGGCATGTGCCACAAACTGGTCCTTGGTTGAGTGTCAGACAAGCAGCGTGGCCCTGATAGACCATTCCGTCTCGCCCGAGTCCGGCCCGGCCAATCGACAGCCGAGCAACCAGGAGTGCTGTATTGCCAGATGTTGTCTAGAATTACTTCTCTTCCAAGGACTTGATTGGATGAATTTTGGGAAGGGATTTCAATTGACTTTTTTAAATTCTTTCAAATTCAACTTCTCTATATAAAGATGTAATTTAACGTTCAATTCGATCCATACTTATGTTCTGTATATAACACATACACATGTAAGATTCACAGATATATTATAATTATTAACAATTATTTATCTTATAAATGACTATTTTACTCTTGATCAATCTAATTTATACTCATGTTAAGAGATACAATTATCTTTTGGATCCTTAATCTCTTACTCATCTTTCCAAATTCACCGCTCCCCTAAATTTGACGAAACTCATAATCATAAATTTAATCTTTGGGTCAGTTACGGGTCAAGTTTAAAAACTTAGGACTGAATTTTTTATACAAACATAAAATTTAGAGAAATTTTAAACAATTTTTCTCAAACTCATCTCATCAATTACCCCGTATTCCCATACCAAACAACCCCCAAGTGAGTTGAACTCCTCCGCAGAAGTGGAGACTTATATACACCGTCACGCCATGAAACTAGCGGCAGCAATTTGGTACTCCATCTTTTTGTTTCATTGCTCTTGTTATGAATTTAGAAAAATCACAGCTACACTCCTTCTAAGTTATTATATTTTTAACGATATTCCCTTTATTATTAAAAGTATCGCTAACACTCTTTTTAATTTATATTTAAGCATCATTGATACCTTTGCTATTAAACTATCATTTATAACAAAAATAAATTATTTAAAATATCAAAATTGCCCCCACATAAACCCCAAACAATCTTTTTACATAAAATTCAATTAAAATTTCAATCGATTATAATTTTTTTATATATATTAAAATTCAAGCTGATTAAAATTATTTTTTCAACATACTAAAATTTGAGTAGATTAAATTTTGATTCAAGTTGATTAAATTTTATTTTTTTTACGGGTATTAAAATTCTAGCATATTAAAAGTACTTTTTGACAGACGCATTAATGAAAATTCAAAAAATAGAGAGTGACCTTGAAGATATGAGAAACTAGAAGGAGTTTGGCAGCAATTTTTCCTATGACTTTTTATTTCTAATTCAAGTGTCCTACATGTAATATAGCACGTTTTAGAGAAAGGAAAAATTTATTTGAACTTAATTTGTTGATCTAATAAATCACTTTTATTGAATTGACAGTTAGTCTAAGTATTAGTTGGGACCCATTATTAATTTATTGATCGTAATAAATTAAGTTAACAAATAAGATTTGATAAACCTAGATCTAATTGAGTCAGACCCAATTAATTAAGTAAGCCCAAATTAGTTACAAGGCAGGTGAATCTCAATTCGTGGATTCAATCCAATCCACGATTCAAGAGACCCAAGAATCTAGCACATGTGGGAGAGAGATCATTAGGATAACCGTTCTCCCATATGAAAACTATATTTAAGTGTATTTATTCTTAACTATAGCTATCCTCCCTGAAAATCTAGTCACCTATCTCTTCACGTTACCGCCTCAATCAAGGTTTTGTGTCTATAAATTGCAAACTCTTTTCATATGAGAGAGATATCTCATTACATACCTTACACAACAATCTCTCTCATAACTATCAAGAACATACCCTTAAAGACCATCAGCTACCGTTGCCGTCTTCAAAGTGGAGTAGGTCATATTGATGGAACCACTATACATCTATGTATTACTTGTGTTGATCCAATATTTATCTCCTTCATTAATTGGTGTGTTGATCCAATATTTATCTCCTTCGTTAATTATTTTATCGATTGTTTCATTAATTATATTGAATCATATACTCGATTATTAATTATATATAAGTCTATTTTATGCATCATTAAAATTAATAAATTAAACTGACATCGAAGAAATGAGCACGTTTAGCCCACTTGTCATGGCTACAATTAGCACTTGCCAACTGAGAGGTCTTGAATTATTTGACCTTGACCTCTCACCAAAGGCGAGTTGTCACAAATGAAATGTAGTTCTCTCATTGTTGTTTCTTGGGGCCACACCTGGGATGTTCCTCCAGTTGAGATTCTTGAGAATGACATTTTGTATGGGAAAATTCCATGAACACTCTCGGTAGTTTGGCATATATTTAAAGAAACCTCTTGTATTATCTAAACAGAAATTAACGTGAGAAAAAATCTGAATCAAAATTATGACTCAAATGATGTGGCAAAAAAAAGGAAAGGGTTAATTATAAAATGTCCCATTGAACTTTGGGTCTTATTTCAATCATGTTTCTCTAGTTTAAAATTGAATAATTTGCTACCTTCAATGTTCCAAAATTAGCAAGTTGACTGATGAAGTAGACAAAAATTTTAAAATTATTTTTGTACATTTAGCCTTTATTCATCTACATTTTTTTTCCTTTCCCTTTGTCCAATTGAGCCAAAAGCTCCAACGCCACCCGCCACAAACCAACACAACCACCACCCAGCCAACAACCACCCAGTCACAACCACTACAACCACTATCCAACCACAATCAACTAGCCCCACAAACCACTGTAGCCACCACCCAGCCACACAACCACAAACCACTAAAGGTCACCACCCAACCAACAACGCATCCACAATCAACCAACCCATACAACATTGTAGCCACCACCTAGCTACCCAACCTCCGCAACCATAAACCACCACATTCACAATCCATCGAAGAAATTGTCGATAGGAATTTGGATTTTGGTTTCAATGAAAGGGGAGGGATTTGGATTTTTCATTGGAGAAATCGTCGACGATTGGTCTTTTTTCTTTTGATTTTTATTTTACACAAAAATATTAAGATAATGATAGTTGTGGGTTTTTGATTAATATAAGTCATTTTTAACGGTGGTCAACTAACGGTAAGAGTTCTACTAATTAAATACTCTTTATACATTAAAAATTACTTTATCACCCATTAGGTTTTCAAGAGTTCTATGTATCCTTGTAAGTTTTCAAAAACTATAATTTGTATAAAGAGTATTTAATTAGTGCATACAAAAAACTTAATAGCATGACATTAGACCTTTAATAATCAAACGGGAGATATTGATCATCGAGTTACAAACGTGAATTTATGCCATTGGTAATACATTGAATCACAACTAACATTTATAATTAGAACACCATGTCATAAATGAAAGAATAAATGTTTGGTCAAATTGGCAGAAATTAAATTTTCTAATGATACCTAAGAACTAGGTTTTGGATTTTATTAATTATAGTTTTGTGATAGTATCATAAAAATATAAAATTAATAGTATGTCAAAATTTATGTGCTCTTTCTTTTTCTTTGGGATGATGCGAGAGAGAGCAAGAGGCGGCAAACAAGGCAATTACATTTTAATTTTTTCTTGTATGAGATGAGCTCAGTGCATTAGATCGATGGATAATAGAACTAAAATCTCTACATGTTTGATCTTTTTCAAATTTTGTAGTGGTAAAATTTTCGTATAGTGGACCGCTTTTTTAATTTGGTGAAATTACTGCAGCCTTTTTTATCCATGTTGGTCCCAAATTGGTCACGTTTGGTTCTTGACACCTTAGCACCTCAAGCACCTACCACACAGAGAATCAAAATGCTAAACCCAAACCGCCATTCCATTGGTCAAACCAAGCACGTGAATTAGATATATGTAGTAATTACACACATGTTTACACGCGTCACTTTGGGCGCTTGCTGAAGAACATTAACTACGTGTGGTCTTACCTTAATGTCTGTCTGTCTGAGATAAGATGTAAAAGTTTTATACCCAAACATCACCCACCGCATACGGTACGAGTATAACATAAAAATCTAACGTTCACTGGAGATCATCACCACCACAACACCACGCGCCACCTTCGCCGCCCCCGCCGCCTATGGGTGCCACAGAACCTGTAAGACATCAACATCACCTCCTTCATATTCAATTTAATTCCTGTCTCATGTTGTTTTCTGTTGAACTTATTACCACATGTTTGTGTTGTGTTGTTATGTAGGTGGTAGAGAGAGAAAATGGTGAAGCAGTGAGGGAAGAGAGAGAAAATGAGAGTAATCGAGAGGCAGAAGTAGATTTCAGGGATGTGGAGAGAGGTCCGGAGGTGGGTGCTCAAGAACATGGTGTCCAGACCCACTCTCCTGGTGAATTTCATATGTCAAGGCTTTCCTTTGGTAAGATAGAAAAATAGAAGAACGAGAGGTTGGAAGAATAGAAAGTTGTAATGATGAATAAAATATCATGTTTGATAAAGAAAGAAAATAAGAAGGATACAAAAGTAGATGAATTAACTTTCTTTTCACCTTATCAAAATCAATCTCTCCAAAATCGAAAGAAAAGTGAATGAAAAGTTAATTATTTGTATTGAGATGTATCTTATTTGTCTATATATTATATATATTAATTTTATATAAAAATACAATGATAAAATATATATATATATATATATATATATATATATATTTTTTTTTAAATTAAAAAAATAAAATAAAATTTTAAATTTAAATATTAAATTAAAAAAAATTTTTATCTTAAATAAGGAAAAAAATTTTTGACTCAACATGATGATACGACTTGAACTCGACACGAATTTTATGATATGAACTTAATTATAACTCGATACGAACTTAAAAATGACTTAACACGCTAACAAGAAATATAAAAAACTTATAATTTTATGATTCAACATAAATCCAACACAATACGATTAAATTGTCACCCATAATCTTAGTCAGCACCAAAAAAAATTAAAAAAAATTAGTCATTTTTATTTTTCATCCATCCAACTAAACATAAAAGAAGGAAAGTGTATTATTCTTATTTTTCATTCTTAAAAAATATAAAATGTATCCCTCTTATTTTTTATTATTCTTATTTTTCATCCCTCCTACCAAACGGAGCATAAGCGAAACAAACCCTTTAAGACTTGTCATCAATGGTGCCACCAGAATTGCCTCACCCTCTCCTTCTCAGTTTCGACCCACCCCCTCCTTCTCAGCCTCGCTCCACCCTAACCCCCCAAGTAAGTCTCACAAAAAACTATGCCCTTTTTTTTTTTTTAAAAAAAAAAATTTTGTTTTTAGGTTGCCTATTTTCAAGTTTAATCTAAATTTTTCTTTTGGGTTTTGTGTTAAATTGGCAGCAATCACTAATAACACTGAATTCAAGGAGATACACCAACAGAATATCTCTATTTTTGTTCCTTCTGCATATGGTTATGGCTGTTGGGTTATTTGGTTTTCTTATATTCAAGGGAATTCAAAGCCGGCTTCAAGGAGGAGAAACTCAGAGGAAAGAGAAGAGGGTACTAGAGTATTTTCTGCCTCAGGTTGAGGCTGCTTCATTTCTTAGCATTACACTTGCATATTTATGGCAAAAGAGAGTGGCCTAAATTTATGGTTCATTTCATAATTTGGACCTCTTTTCTCATGGCTTTATCTGCTGGGATTCTTCTAATTTGCTTCCAAAGGCCTGCCACTGATGGCGTAGGAGCCGTCTTTATCGTCTTTGCAATTGGTAATGGTTTATATGCTTGTTGGGTTACACAGAGAACTGGGTTTGGTTCTAAGATCTTCATCAAATCACTTGAACCAGTATCTAAATTCCCTGATTTGAATCGACCAACGTATTGGATGCTTGGGGCCGGGTTCTTGTGGATGTCACTGTGGATTTTAGCTGTAATTGGGGCATTATATTTCTACTTCCCACAATGGATTTGAGCCGTAATTGGGGTCGGTGGGGATGCATGAGTCTGTGCCGATGCTGATGGTGATGTAGCTACCGCTGTTGGTGTCAGTGTCAGTGTCGGCACCATTGTCGGTGTCAGTGTCGGCTCAAGTGTAAGCCTAGCTATCGGTGTCGGTGCTGGGGTCGGTGAGGGTGCATGAGCCTATGCCGATGCTAATTGTGAATATCACGGAGTAGTCCAGTCTTGGTAAAGATGAGGAGGTGGCTATGCAGATGTAGACAGTTCGTCATCTGTCGACACTGAAGCTACATCAAGTCGTCACTGCTCTCGAAGAGATGTCAAACATGATGAGCTCATATCTGTAATATGCCCAATTGTGTTCATGCAATATGCTAAGTCCGGACTGCCCTCATATGTACCACGTGTAGTGTGATATATCCGTGTAAGTGTCTGTTTCTACAAAAAATATTTCAAAACATGAGTTAATATATTAAACAATTAGTAACATTTGTACTACAAATTGAATAGTTAAACATTTAATATCTTACCAGAAGTTCTATGATGCTCTCAACATTCTGAAAATCGACAATTGGCCTAGCGTTGGGTGGACCAATAAGGTGCCGAATGATCCGACGATACCATTGCATGTATGCGTTGGTCAAATCCATCGGTCAAGTACTCAGATCTCCGGTAACAATAATATCTCTACGTGTGCCCACATCTTTGTGTAGATCTGATGAACTACAGACCAATCCCGATCAGATCTACCTCGATAGTTAACAGCACACAAGGCCCACCTGGTATCGCATGGCTGTGGTATGCGCTGAATTAGGCCAAATTGTCGAGTAACCCGATCTGAAAAATGTCACTCCACAACATCGAAGCAAATCAATGGGGCTCGTGTGCGCCAAATATCTTGCCCAATAAAACAATAATCTGGCAGACCACTCATTATATTAGCTGTATACGGTTCTCATATCATCTGCAATATAAATTTTGAGCACTCAATAATAAATGTAAAGGTATTTTTAAAAAAATTGGGCAAAATTTTTTTTGAAAATTGGACATTTTCAAAAAAATTTAACCTGTATACAACACACCCAACTTAATCACAAGTATAAACAAACAAAAATAACATCCCACCATCTGGACATGTACTTGCTTCACATATAAATTCAATGCAATCAACCCAATACACTAACAAACTTTAACAAATAACATCCGAATTCGCCAAATATGGTCAAGTTGATATACTGGATCCTCGCGCATCTGGTCCCGATAGTGACGTAGTACATGCCGGGGCGTGTGCTGCTCCGAAAATATGACATCTCATCTATAGATTTCAACAAAATTTTAAATAGATAATAATATGTAAAATATTTAAATGCGTGAATTGTATCTATAGTACAGATCTACAACAAAGTGGACCATCAAGTACACCGTGCACATCAACCTCTTCATGTACAGGACCCAAATCTACACCAAGTCCTTATAATGGTGGACCATCACCATCGAGTGCCGCTGCATCATGGGTGACCCGTTGTCGTGGTAACACACGTTGTGGAACAATGTGTACCAGACACTCCCATGTCCATAACTGCATACACAATACATTAAATTTACATATGTACAGTTACAATAACATAAAAGTAAACAAGTAAGTGAAGAATGCAAGCAATTACCTGAAGCAAAATAAGTTGACCGCTAATATCCTTCGCGTCCCGCTTAATCGCAAGACACATCTCCCGATATAACTATGCTAGGGCCACATTGCCCCAACTAAAAGTGTCGGCAGCATGTAAATCTCTGAACAATGGTAAGAACATAAGTTTCACCCTACTCGATGACTTGTCGTTGAACAAAAACCCTCCAATCAACAGAAATATGTATGATCGGGCGTAATATGCTATAAAATGTTTGGTCGCATCAGCTGAAATCCCATGGGTCAAATGCTCAACCAGTGCACTAAGGTGTAGTGTAGTCTTATCTATCGCTCCATCTGCTAGTGTGAACCCGAGCAACTCAGTGCACATGACACTCTACTACTGTACATCGCGGATGGTGTCTACACCATATACAGGCATCCCATCAACCAGAAGGCCAAGTAATACAACTGTATTCTTAAGTGAGATGGTTGCCTCACCAACTGACAGATGAAATGTGTGTGTCTCGGGGTGCCATCGCTCTACAAGTGCAGTAATAAGATGTCAGTCCAGCTGAATGTATCTAAAGCGATATGTCCCATAAAATTCGACTGTGCGTAGATGCTGAATAACCAGATCATCTGTGATGGTAACTCAACGAAGAGAAGCCTCTGATCGTCTACAATGTAACGGGGGTAGATCTATACCCTCCCAAATAGCAGTCGTGCGATGGTCACCCTGTAAGGATAGAACAGATGCATCATCGGGACTTGGATGTACTAATGAACAGGGATCACGATCCATGTCTATAACCTACATAATCATAAAATATACAAACATAAGTTAACATATATGTATAACATCGTTAATATGTATATGTACCAACGTTAAAATACAGCGTACACTTTAACATGCTTAGTAACGTTAAGAAATATCATATGATGAATAATGGGCTCGAACAATAAATAATGTTTTACAACTTATATACAACATTAGAATGCATAAGTAGCAATTACAGTGGATGATCCATTGAAGAAGCTGATTGGTTCTTCGCTGTACATGTTCGGCGATCGTGCCCTGTTTGCAAACAAATACTATAGTGGTTCTACTTGCGTCTTTTTCTCAGAAAATCCATTTCATTTTGTATGCACGATGTTTGCGGCCGTCCTCTAACTCCTCGAAGCAACGACCTATTAGGACATAATGTAGGGCCATCGGTAGCATCCCAATAATCTTGGTGGTGCAGAGGATGAAGATCAGGTGCCCGAGTGGATTTTATGCTAAATCAATTATAGATGTATGAACACATGATACTAATATATACATCATCATAATTTAATTATAATTAAAAATGGTTGTAGCCAAAAACTTGCTAAAATTTTAGAATTGATCATCCAAGTGCATGTTATGCGAAATAATAAATTTCTCAGGAATCCGAGGTCGAACCACAGGAAATTGGAAAAACAAGAGACACAAAACAAATAAAAAGCAAACTTGTGATTTAAGAGATTGTTGAGTTGAGAAAATATTGATTGGAGTAATTAAAATAGTATAATAAAAATACTAGAGCATCAGGTACTCCCTCTCAATTCCGTACAATAATGATTAAAGACTCAAATCTTAACTTGAGACAAGAATCAGATGTCAGTTGATTCATGTGACAAATCAAGAAAGAAAACCTAAAGTTATAATCAAAAAAATTATTTAGGAACCTGAATAATAATCTAATTATATTATTTTATGAAATAATGATAATTACCTCAAGCATAAAATAACCAGTTATTAACTCGCAGGGAAATTCAAGCAATCGATATACAAGGCACAACAACTCAAGGATTTTTACAGAGCAAAAATTTTGCTAAAAGATCAGAAGTTAAATTAACAAAATATCATAAATCATTAAACTCAGAATCAATAACATTATCGTACTTCATTGAGAGGTTCTCCCCTAACCCAGTTTAATCTTCTAGCCAGACATGACAAACTAAAATTATAAAAGAAAAGATGGGAAAAGAATCCTCCTAATCCTATATGAGAACCTTTATTTATACTCAAAATAAATCTTAAGTATAGGTAGAAGATATAAAGTTGGCTTGGAAGGAATTCCTTTCCTTCCACCACATTAAAAAATATAAAAAAAATACAAAATAAAAATTATGAAATATATAACCTACAAAAAAATAAAACAAATAAATAACAAATAATAATAATAAAATAAAATAAAAAGGAACGAGATTATCAGATCTGTGACGAATCTCAAATTTGGCAAACCTCAATAGATGGCGGTGTGTTCTTTCCCTTCAAACAATTCCTCGGCAACGGCGCCAAAAACTTGCTACAACTTTAGAATTGATCACCCAAGTACAGGTTGTGCGAAGTAATAAATTTCTCGGAAGTCTGAGGTCGAACCACAGGAAATTGAAAAACCAAGAGACACAAAACAAATAAAAAGCAAACTTGTAAGAACAATTTATTTAATAGATTGTTGAATTGAGAAAATATTGATTGGAGTAATTAAAATAATATAATAAAAATACTAGAGCATCAGGTACTCCCTCTTAATTCCGTACAATAATGATTAAAGACTCAAATCTTAACTTGAGACAAGAATCAGATGTCGGTTGATTCATGTGACAAATCAAGAAAGAAAACCTAAAGTTATAATCAAAAGATTATTTAGGAACTTGAATAATCATCTAATTATATTATTTTATGAAATAATGATAATTACCTCAAACATGGAATAATCAATTATTTACTCGCAAAAAAATTCAAGCAATCGATATACATGACACAACAACTCAAGGATTTTTATAGAGCAAAAATTTTGCTATAAGATTAAAAGTTAAATTAATAAAATATCATAAATCATTAAATTCAGAATCAATAATATTATCGTACTTCATTGAGAGGTTCTCTCCTAGCCCTAGCTTAGCCTTCTAGCCAGACATGACAAACTAAAACTAGAAAAGAAAAGATGGGAAAAGAATCAGCCCAATCCTAGATGAGAACCCTTATTTATACTAAAAATAAATCTTAAGTATAGGTTGAAGATATAAGGTTGTCTTGGAAGGAATTCCTTTCCCAAAAAGAAGTATTTTAAGGTTAAATTCCGTGCATAAAATCTTTGAGGCGCGGGTACAAAATTTATCCAGATTTCGAGTTTCAATTTCACATATTTAGAGGCTGAATCACGAAATTTTTGTGAAATACACTTTTGTAGCTCTTGGAGTCTTCTTTCCAGCCTCCAAACATCAAGTAAATCGGATATCAGAGTCAAAAGTTATGACTAGAATACTAAAAATGTGTCGAATCCTTATTCTTCTAAGATACTTTCCTAATCCAACTTTAAATGAGTTTTCTTCCACCTTGGACTCTTAGAAGGATTAAATTGTTGTCATATCTTCAAGTCTTCTTATCTCAATATTGACTCTTTAATCCTTATCAAATGCGATTCTTCCTCTAGTGATTAATTCACTTGCATTATCTATTATTACTTTAAATCAACCAATTTACCTGCAAAATATATCAAACAACTAGAAAAAGTATTAAACTAAAAAATCAAGAAATTCAACACTTTTAATCACAAATAATATGTAATTAACCAATCATTAAATATAATAAAATAGTAATTTTGATGGTTAATCAATATACATCATCATAATTTAATTATAATTAAAAATGGTTCACGTGCAACGCACGTATGCATCAACTAGTACAACTCAAAAATTAAAATTCAAATGCATATTATTAATTGGATGGGTGAGTCTCACTGAAAAAATTGATGGGATCCATTCATCTAAGGGATGATATGCATTTGAGTTGTAATTTTTTGGGTTTTATTTGAGTTTTGTAGTATTCTTCTTTTGAGTAATGTTAATTTGACTAAAAAAATGACAAAAAATAGGAATCAAATGATATAGTGGTATTATTGATTTTACTTTTACACATTTGAAATTCAAATTTGTCTTATTATAATAATATCACATCATTTGATCTACATTTTTTACTTCCCTTTTTAGGTCAGCGATTACTGATAATTTTTTTAATCGATGAAGAACCAGTAGGGTTTTACTCTTATAATGAGACGAGTTTGATTTTAAAATTTAAATTAATCTATTTTTTTTTAGATAGAATTTAGAAAATATTTTTCTTACGAACCTACCGCACTTGGAATGACGATTTGAAAAGATAATTTTTTGTGTTCGGTTGTATTTTGATTTCCTTGTTAAACATAAACACAATCACACCCCTTTGACTTATCACTTCTCTCAAATATTTCTTCTATTAATAAAAAAAACAAAAATGATATTGTCACTGACATTGTATTACTTTCCCACAACAACTTTGACATCATGTCTATGGCATTTCACACGTACATAATAATGGCCTTATTGAAAAATCATGATTCAACCCGCAACTGATGAAAATGAGTGAAAAATTAATCGGCGAACTCTCTACTTCAGTGATTGATCTAGGTTTAAAATTTTCAACTAATACAAAGAGCATTGGTTGGAATAACTAGGCCAAATATTTATGCGTCAATGCTGATGAAATGATCCCAAAAGAGTACAAATTACTTTAGTACTTATGTCTCAACAAAGTATACAGTCCACGAAATTATGTGGGATTTAAAGCTACATCCTGGAAAACGAACATGGACTGACATGTAGTCCCTAAAAACAGTGAGACATTAGTACATCATCCAAAATAAAATTTGATCACAGTAAAATCATCACGAAACTAAAAGTAAAGAAAATATCTCCTCTCAAAACATAAAACTTTGTTGTCTGCCATGAATCAAGCGTTTGTTTATGGAAAGACTAGTGACATAAGAGCATTGAACTTCATTTTCCCTCCTCTTTTACCCCCTTAAGTTAACAAGGCTTTAAGATGTTTCCTTCCACACCTTGTCTATCCCAAATGTACCACTTTCTTCCCCAGCCACTTTAATCCCTCACCATCAAGCATACTAATAGATATAAAGAGGGATATAACTTGATACAGATACGGTGATATAACAAAATCTTGATAAAACAAAGAAAAAAAATACAAGAATCGCAAACAACCCAACAATAGCAATGCATATATCCATCTAATATTATATTTTGCTAGTTAAGAATTTTAAACAATCCCTTGAAGAATTCAACTTTTGTACACACAAAAGCATATTACTATAACGTTATTCCAACAACACTAAACAGTAAGCACTATAATCCCTTCCAAATTTTGTTTGAAAAAAGCATCCCTCATATTTGTTTGTGAGCACAAAAAAATCATAATACAACACATCAACTTAACAGAAAGAAGTTTACCCAGTCCAACACATACCCAACCACAAGCACGCACGACTACCCACGCTCGAAATCTCTCTTTTTAATTGTATATAATGAATTTATTTGGTGTATAGACCCATCCCATTACTCGCCAAACCTAATTCATATATCCCAACACTAATTCAAATAAAACCCATAAATTTTCACAATTCTCTCAGTCTACCACCTTGTCAAAATCATTCAACTAAACCAATTCCATCAAATTAAAAAACACATCACATATAAAATCACACCCACACACATACATACATATGGAATAGATATACTGACCAGTAGGGGTACTTGGGTTCCTCTCTGACCTTTCTTCTTAGCGGAATATGGAACAAAGAACAGGTTTTAATGACTGCTCTACGGTTTGAGTTGCACTAGCGTTTGATTTGAGGGGTTAAGCGCCGAATTAGCATTAGTTAAATCGATTTAGGGCAAAAAATATTTAGGGCAAATATGGAGAATGGAGAATGTATTCACTGCTCAGTCGGTGGTGGAGGCTGTGGTCAGTCTCTTTGTTGAAGTCGCTGGTGGAGCACTCCGCACACTAGTGGAGCACTGCGCACACTGGTGGAGGCTTTGCTAGCTGGTGGTGGCTTTGTTGAAGTCGCTGGTTGGAGCTCGTCGAAGTCTTCTTTGGCTGAGAGGTTGAGGAGGAGGAGGAGGAGAATGATGGTGTGGTCTGATAAGTGGTTTGAAATTAATTTAAGTTGGAGTAGCCTGATATGTGAAATTTAAGTGGTCTGACCTAACATTAAAATTTTCATTGTAAATGACGTTTTAACCCCTTTATTCCTTTAACGTTTGTTAGGCTCCATTTAAAATTCTTGTTACAAATCGTCATTTGGAATGACGACTTTAAAAACGTCATTCTTAATGACGTTTTAGAAAAAAAAAAATTATGTTGAAATTGTCATTCCAAATGACGTTTTCAGGCGAGAAAATGTCATTTCAAATGACGTTTTTAAAAAAGATTGAGTTTGAGAATTAAGTTTAAAAGTGATTGGGTTATGAAATTAAGATTTTAGGGGGACTGGGCATGAGGAAAACCTTTGTGTTACAACAATGTTCAAAAATTTAATTAAATGAAGTTGTATGGGAATAAAAAATAGTGCTAAACTGACTAAAAGCTTCAATTAAAATGAAGGACAAAATCATGTGGTATTAATGTTGCCACGAACAAAATCAAGAAATTTTAATATAAATTCCAATAGACTTTCGAGCCATGCAAGCTCAACAATTTTTAAATTTATTAACCCCACATTAATATTTGAACAAACTACCCAATCATCTTCCTATCATATATCAATAGCCTCACCAGTAACCAAAGACAGAGCCATTGACCCGAGTCTTGGGGCTAAGCCATTGACCCGAGTTTTTAATTTAAGAGAACACATATATTTTCTCCTAATAAATTTGAGATATTTGATGTGAAATAGTGGTTAGGTTGAAAGGAAAGACAACATTAATAAAGCAGCTGTCTCCATGCATCAATAAGTTGTACTTATAAATATTTTATGCAAGATTCTATGGAGGTTGTTTGCATGAAAAATAGACAAAATAAAATTCCTAAATTATTAATTAAATCTATTTAACAAAATAAAAATTAATAATTCTATAATATAATTAGATGTGCAAATGCCTAAAAAGATCGAAGAGATACCTAAATAAATGAAAAATTAATTACTCAAAAATTTAAAGAATAAATAATTAATTAAATTTAACAATAATTAAAATACGAATTAATTATTCAACAATTAAATTATTATTTACTTTAATTATACATAAATTTCACGTTTTTTATCAAAATAATATTATATAAATTTATTTACGTGCAACAAACGTCGTGCATTGCTAGTCTAGATAAAAGTTTAGAAAAGCACTATATTTTAATTTAATACAAGTTGGCAACTTGCTTCTTATTGTTAATTTCCATATGGTACCATATTGTTCTTTAATTTTGTAGCAAAATTGTTTAAGGGAAGCTCCCTAGAAATTTCCTAATCGAACATACAACAAAAAATTCATTATGATTGACCTTCAAAACGAGTCATTTCTTACATAGAATAAAAAAGAAATTCAGAGGTAAGCAATAGACTAATTATTACTTGACTCATTCGGAAGAGAAAGGACACTATAGTAAAAAAATCCCAACTCTTTAGGATTGAGCCAAAGTATTTGAATTTCATTGGATCGTAACTTTGACCCTATTAATCTAATTTTAATATGCCGCATCTTTCTTGACACCATATATAATTTATAATATAAAATTTAAAATTTTAATAAATTTATTCGACGATTTTAAATAGACTTATTTAATAATTACTGACGTCTTTTTTAAAATTATTCATATTTTATGTATGTTCAAATATAAATTACTCCTAGGATGGTCAATAATTTATGATCCTATCTGCCGAGTATCAGATGAGTCTCAGAAGATTTTTGTATGTAGACAACAGCATTAAAGCCACCATGTAGAGATGGGCCATGGAATAGGTAAGGACCTTAAATTATTGAGACTCTTTTGGGACCACCATGTGAAACCCTGTCTATACGCAAGAAGGGTGGATCTTTCACTTTGGGTTCAATCCTGTGAACAATTAATGGAAGGAAAAAGATATAAGAGATCTAAGTCGACAATAATTTTAGGGTGAATTGTACTTTTATTTTTAAAGATTTTAAATTTTTTATTTTATATTTTAAAAGATTAAATTTTTTGTACCGTACTCTTTATAAATCAAAAGTGTTACAATGTGATTCTTCTGCAGGATCAACCTAACAGTTTGGAAAATAAAGTCTAAACTTTAGGCCCCAAATTTTTAGAAGGTACTATAATTTTAACTACATGACTAGTCCAAAAAAAAAATTAAATCTATTAAATTTTAAATCCTAAAAAAATTCTCATACAATTAAGTCCAATTAAAATTCTTGTTGCAATAATTTAGGTCAATGATCCAATCTATAACATTAAAAACTTAAAAATTACAAGTTAAAAAATAAAAAAAAATACTCTAAAGTCAACTCATATTTACCATATCTACTCTCTCTCTCTCTCTCACACACACAAAATTAAAAATAAGTTACTTTTTAAAAAAAAAATTAGTACAAAAAATAAAAAGACTACATTTAGTGTTTCCGCTTTAACTCTCAAATGAATTGACTTTTGACAAAAAAAATAACGAAAGCTAATACAATGGCCATATTATAACAATTTTAATATATTAAAGGTATAATGTGAAAATTTTAATCTTTGAGTGTACAAAGTAGAAACGTTAAAAACTTTCGAGATATAAAGTGCGAAAAAGGCCATGATTTTATGAGAGTTAATCAGTAAATGAAAAAAAGAAAATTTTTTCGATAGTTGTGACAATCGATAAACACATAGGGTGGGTATTTTCTTTATGGAGACCGACATATGAAGGTTTTGGTTGGAAGTATGAACTTCTGTGTTCAAGATTAAAAAAAAAAACTTTATGTGTTGGGTTTGTGGAATTCATTAATACTCCACAAAAATTCAAACTAGTCTAATTTTAATACGACATAGTTTTACTGACACCATACAAAATTGAGTCAACAATTTATGGTCGCTATCTGTCCCATGTCAAATGGGTCAAAAGACTTTTGCATGTACGTAGACAACTACATTGCATTAAGACCACCCAATTGAGATGGGCCATGGAGTGCATAAGGACATTAAATTAATTATTGACCCTCTCTTGAGACCCGCATGATGAAACCCTTTTTATATGCAAGAGTGGTGGATCTTACACTTTGGGTTATATCTTTTCAACAATCTTTCGATACTATCTTTTCAACAAGTCATGAAAGGGAAAATATATAACTTGAGCGGAAAGTTTACTATACCAAAATTTTATTTTATTTTATTTTTTATTATAATATCAAAAATTATAATCTTTAATAATAAGATTATCTATATAAAAGATAGGGTGTATTTTGAATCTATTTTTTCTTCAAAATATAATTCATTTTTAATTCAATTAAGATAGCGCAAGGACAATACAAATTTAATTTACTTTTACAAGAGGTAGAGAGAAGTTCTTGAAAAAGATTTTTGCTGTCTCTCTCTCAAGTATTTAAGTGTTAGGATGGTGTCATAAGGGCAGGGCATGAAAGACGGGATGGGAGGAGTCCGAGATTCAAAATTCATCGCTAGCAATTCAATAGGGGTGTTTGGTATGTGAGACAAGGGGGAATTTGGAAGATGGATGGGGAATAAAAGTTTACAAAACCTAGCAAAGCTATATTTGGCAACTAAATTTCTAGTCCAGATTATCAAACCCAACCTATTTTAGGTTCACAATTAAACCCAAGTTCAGGGTTTCATAAAACCTGGTGGAGGACGGGGGTGGGTTTCATATAGGGGTTAAAGGGTTGAACATATAAAATAATATTTATACCCTCATATAACCCTATTCGAACATGAATTTGAATTAAATTGGTTAAAGGATACAATAGTTATTTATATACAAATATATTATCGTAATAGTGATATATCCCAAATAAGAAACATGTCAATAAAATATTATGAAACTCAATATGGTTAAATTGGGTTGGAATTCATTAATACTCCACATAAAATTCAAACTAGTCTAATTTTAATATGACATAATTTTATTGAC